TATTTATTTTTCTTGTTTGTTCAATTGCTGCTTTCCATCAGAGAGGAAGGGAGAGAAACATGAATGATGAGAAGAAATCACTGATAAGCTGCCTCCTGCACGCCCCCTACGGGGGATCCAGTCCACAACCCTGGCATGTCCTGACCAGGAATTGAACCATAACCTCCTGGTTCACAGGCCGATGCTCAACCACTGAGCCATACCAGCTGGGCTGTACCACATCTTCTTTATCCAATCATCTATCAAAGGACACCAGTTGTTTCTGTGTGTCTCTGCATTATGGCTTCTAGCCAGACCATGCAGAGAGACTATTCTAGAAAACATGCTTCCATACTGCTTAGTCCAGTTGACACTAAACCCTATCTTGTTAGCCTTTTCTGTTGTATTTAGCACTACTTTTTCAAACTAGTGCCTTGATTTCTGAGCACCAATCTTTTGGTTTTCTTCCTTCTCTAATGAATCCTAAATTCACTCACTATCTTCCACCTACTCTGTAAACATTATCCCAAGTTTCCCCTCCAGAGTGACCTCAACCGCACTCAGTCTTAGCAAATATCTGTACTGACAACTCCCAAAATATCTCACTTCGCATCTCAATTCAAACATATATTCTACTAGCCTGATAGACTTCTCTACTTGCAGGAAACTGAATGCATCATCAGTCCCCCAATCTATTTCTCATCAATGAATGACGTCCGCATTCATCAAAGAGTTCCCCAAGCTAGGTCACTTTACACTCCCCCCTTACAACCCATATCAATGCAATCACCAAACATACTTTCTATCTCCCCTTTGCTCTGTCACCTACAGTCCCTAAGACACATTTCAATCTTGCCCACCACTCATGTCCATCCATTTTATACTTCTTTTTTTAAAATATATTTTATTGATTTTTTACCCATCCATTTTATATTTCTTAAAAAAATATTTTACTGATTTTTAGAGAGAGAGAAAGGGAGAGGGATAGAAACATCCATGAGAGAGACACATCAATAGGCTGCCACCTGCATGCTCCCTACTGGGGATGAGGCTGCAACCCAGGCATGTGCCCTGACCTGGAATAGAACAGTGACCTCCTGGTTCATGGGCCCACGCTCAACCACTGAGCCACAGCTGCCAGGCCATCCACTTTAATACTTCTTAAAAAAATATTTTACTGATTTTTAGAGAGGGAGAGGGATAGAAACATCCGTGAGAGACACATCAATAGGCTGCCACCTGCACGCCCCCTACTGGGGATGAGGCTGCAACCGAGGCATGTGCCCTGACCTGGAATAGAACGGTGACCTCCTGGTTCATGGGCCCACGCTCAACCACTGAGCCACAGCCGCCACGCCATCCACTTTATATTCTAGCAATAATGAACTGCGTGGGCATTCCCACAGCACGGCTCACATAGCCCTTATAATTTGGCTTCTCTTCTTAGTTTCTCCTCACCCTTCGCTGTTCTCAGCTTCTGCTCATGGTTCTAGGCTCAAGCAGATGTCATCTCTTTAACGAAATCTTTCGTTCCTCTATCCCAGTGGTTCTCAACCTTGGCTGCACATTAGAATCACCTGGGAATCTTTTTTAAATAAATCAGGATTTTAAAAAGATTCCCATGTGGGGTAGAACCAGGGCCTGCAGCTCCCAAAGGGCCTGGGCCAGGCTCCTCTCCCAGGTCAGGGCGGCTGCCAGGGCCCTGAGTTTGGCCCCTCACCTGGGGAGGCCTCAGCACATCCTGGAAGAGAAGCGGCCCCCACGCTGGTGTCGCATCTTGAAGATGCTCAGCGCCCTCAGCTGCTGCTCCGCCACACCTCGGGAAGGGCCCGCGCCCTCGGGAGCCATCCCGTCGCGGGGGGGGGGGACAGGAGCCCCAAGAGAGAAAAGTCACCCTTCATTTACTTCGGAGATGTTTGTCCCTGGATGGGGTTTGGATTCCCAGCACATGCGTGTGCACACTGCAGTCCAGCTCATAGACGGCCCGCCTCCTTGGTTTCCCGGTTGCAGGCGAACTTCAAACGGGGCAGTTTCCTCCTGATGCTTATCTCCACAGCCCACTTCTCAGAATGCCTCACCCATCAGCTTTCAAACAGCACCGTTTTCGGTGCCAAGTTGCCTGCTTCAAGGTTTGGAGCTTTACTGGAGCATAAAACAATAACACTTCTAAATCCGCCTCCCTCCATTCCCCTAAACTTTGCCTCTCTGTCCCCTGGCCCCCAATAAAACAAAGCTGTACATTTCCTGAGAAACACCCCCAACCCTGAACCAGCCCTTGTCCCTAAAAAGGATTTGGTTTCTAGGTCATCGCTGTAATGCATTCTCAGAGTGGTTGAAAATGCAGAGACGCCATCCCTGAAGATGGGCTCCCCAAAGCCATCAGGGACATGCACTGGGCAAAAAAGACAGAATGACTCAGTACAACCCCATCATCTCTGAGGAGCCTTCAGTGGCCACCTCTGCTCTCAGGGTAACACACAAAGCCATGGTTTGTTTGTGCTCTTTTGGATAGTAGGGTTCGGCCCTGATTCCTCACTCTTTCACCTCTGCATATTTTCATTGGGTAAAGTGGGGGGTGATTTGGAGACGTGTGATGGCTGTCTGAACCAGGGGAAGAGCTCCCCCTCCTGGCCGGCTGCGCTTCTGTGCCTGAGCCCTAAAAGCCTGTGTATCTCCCTCGATGCATTGGGTGCATTCCGGGAGATTTGTGCATTAAATCAAATCACATGGAGGAAAAATTTAAAATATCTACACTAATAAAAGAGAAACATGGTAATTAGCATACGACCGCTACCCTTCCCATTGGCTAATCAGCATATCCTTATGCAAATTAACTGTCAGCCAAGATGGCGGCCGGCAGCCAGGCAGCTGGAAGCGAACATGAGGCTTGCTTGCTCCAGTGACTGCAGACTCCAACGTTCCCCGCCTGACTTGCCGGCCTCTGAGTTGCAACTCTAAGCAACTATGTACTATGTTGCAAATAAGAAGCTAAACAAAACCCCAGAAACCAGCTTTCAGCCTGCCGGGATCTCAGAGCTGAAGTTATACATTGTTTCGATTATAGAACGGCAAACAAACCAGATACGAAGCCTCAGAGCTAGAGCCAGAGCTAAAGCTGGCCCAGAATAAAATAAAAAAAGAGAAAAAAAAGGAGCGGTTGGGAGCTTCAGTCAACAACCGCCAGCCTGAAAGCAGCCCTCAGCCCCTCACCCAGACTGGCCAGGCACCCCAGTGGGGACCCCCACCCTGAAGGGTGTGTGACCAGCTGCAAACAGCCATCATCCCCTCATCCAGGCTGGCCAGGCACCCCAGTGGGGACCCCCACCCTGAAGGGTGTGTGACCAGCTGCAAACAGCCATCATCCCCTCATCCAGGCTGGCCAGGCACCCCAGTGGGGACCCCCACCCTGAAGGGTGTGTGACCAGCTGCAAACAGCCATCATCCCCTCATCCAGGCTGGCCAGGCACCCCAGTGGGGACCCCCACCCTGAAGGGTGTGTGACCAGCTGCAAACAGCCATCATCCCCTCATCCAGGCTGGCCAGGCACCCCAGTGGGGACCCCCACCCTGATCCAGGACACCCTTCAGGGCAAACCAGCCGGCCCCCAGGCCTCTATCCTATATAGTAAAAGGGTAATATGCCTCCCAGCACCGGGATCAGCGGAGCCGCGAGGCCTCCTGGCACTGGATCAGCGTGACAGGGGGCAGAGCCCAAACCCCCTGATCGCCCTGCAGCTCTGTGTGTGACAGGGGGCGGGGCCACAACATCCCTATCCGCCCTACTCTGTTCGTGACAGGGGAAGGCGCCCCAACCCCCTGATCAGCCCTGCTCTGTGAGTGACAGG